ATAATGAAAATTCGTCGGAACTTGGCTTCAATCCAACTGTACAACGTAGACAAGTGCGTGTGTGTGTGAGAGAGCAACGTTATTGCTATTGCTATACAGATAGTCGCTCGTTATGTGTTTCACACAAGACTCGTTTTACATATTAATATAAATATTATTATATTATGATATTATAACAGGAATAATATAAGTGAAACTAATCTTGGCTGAATACTGAATAGGTAATACACTAATATATTTATATATATATTAAATATTATATATAATTATATAATATAACTAATACGATAAAAGGCAGCTTGATAATAATAATATAAAGTTCTATATTATTACGGAATGATCATAATTCCATTAACACGATTTCCAAGTATAAAGTATGATTTCGAGGGACTACCGAAGAGAACAGATTAATATTTAATCAATCAAAATGCAGGGTAGACAATCGAGTTTCATTGAAAAATACAATAATATGTTATACTTATAAAGTTATAACATGTTCAAATATAGTTATTTTCATTGAAACATACGATTTAGGAGCGTTAAACATTTTATATAAATAAAACGCAAACGCATATTGTGAACACAGCAGCATCAGCATGCAGCATTACAACTACAGTCTGTAACAGTGTAACAACGGCGGCGGAGTCTGGTACTGTGGTTGTGTGTAGGAGTCGTTACCCAGTCACCACAGCTGTTTCTACTGAATAACCATCATCAACGCACCCTTTCACCACAGTAGATAAGAAATGTTATTTTTGTTTGATTTATAATTAAAAACCTTTTTGTATTCATGGAGTTGTATTTCAATTCARCTATCCAAGTTAAGTTTAAAAAAAAAATACATTATTATTATTTCAGACTGCAATGACAACTTTGGTATATTTTATAAAACAAAAAATATCATTATTTCATTTGAGCATTCTAGGCGTCGAATACTCCAAAATATAATATGTAGTTCTTCAGTTTACTTGAAGGTACTAATAAAATATAAAAACATCGTAGACATTATACGATTTATAACAATAATAAAATAACACAATTGAAATTCAAAGGTTTGACGATTATTGAATCCGTGAAAATCCTATGAGATATTAATATTCATCGCGTGWGCCACTCATGTAAACTACTCATCGTCCAGACATGTAAAACAAAGAAAATATAAAATACCCTAAGACACCGAGATTATTCATGTACGTAACGTGTATATTAAAAGATCCATTCATTATTATTCACCGCCACCACTACTATCATCGTCCACCATCGACAACAACACCAYCACCACCTCCATCAACACCATAATGCATATAATAATAATAATAATAATACGTGTAGACATAATAATATATGCTAATGCATGGCTATTTTACAATAAAGGTTCCAATGACACCTTGATCAAAAAAATTGTTTTACATACCATGGATTTATTATTCAAGCGAATTTGAAAATTKAAGAATAACAATCAATAAATTATACATACAACAACCATGAGCACAATTATTTGTTGCGTAAAATTCTAGACTCTGATGAAATACGAATTATCAGTAAATCTATATTATTCAATTATTGGACCAAATACAAAATTGCGAGGATTTGAAAAAAACTGCAGACGGCGCACAAAAAATAAGGTATTTAAATTTGAAACTTATCGATAGCAACTTCGTTAATTTTATTTCACAACCGTATACCTACCGGAGTGATGGAGATTGTGCTTATAAATATATTTATGTTTAAAAACATATATTATATTTCTTATTCATGATAATAACAAATGATTTCTTCTTTCGTCAGCGTTATTTTTATTATTAGTACCCAGTAACCACTTGATAAACACAAACTGAAGATCTAAAGATTAAATGAGTCGCCCCCGACATCATATTTTCGTTTTTTTTTATTACTATTATTATTCTTTTTTTTTTAACGAGTTAAATGTCGCTATTCTATAGTGATTGTTATTTAAAAAACCGGAAATGTCTTTTCTCGCGCCGGCGGAACACGTTATTAGTATCATAGCCGTTGTAATAATAACAACAAGACATTATAATACTACAAGATTGTTGAGGAGACCGTAACGCCGCTGTTTCACTATTATAATATACTTAATATGTAGGGATGGATGCGGCCGGTTTAGTTTAGTACCCTTCTGATAACAATAATAAATCTTTTTCACTCCCGCTTTTGATTTTTCTGTATCATCTGTTATGTTGCTTCTGTCTACGTTGTTTTTATTGTCAACGCCAAAGAACCATCGTTCGTTTCCTTTGCTCGTATTAATTTTTTTTTTAAAGAATCTAATAATAACAATCGTCAGAATAAGTGGCGTGTATACGATGTTTTTATTGTTATTCCTGCAGTACTTCCTGTAAGCAACGGTCAGGTGAATGAAGATAGAAAAACCGGATGCACACAGCACCGCATCACCAACACCGGATGGACTACGGTCGCAGAAGTTAATATATATTTAGTCACGTAAACATTAAAAAAATAATGCAAATCACTAATTATACTATAACTATAATTTATAAATTATAAGTATTATCCTGATAAAKAATCTTTACAAAATGTATGTCTTTTAGAGATGAGAAAAAACCTTTTCTACTAAAATGTCAACTTTTTAAATCAAGTTATTTTTATTTCACTTTAATATTATTATCAACTTTTTAAATAATTTCGACAGAGATTTATCAATACTAAATAGATTTTTTAACTTACTGAATAAAACGAGTTAAAATAAAAAAATTATCTTCTAAGCCTTCGAAATGAATACTAGTTTTATCTTTTTACTATTGTCTAACATTTATATTTTTTACCAAACTGGGAATGCGAAGATTAGAACCCGACAAATTAATATAAAAATAATAATACGAGTATATAATATCTCGTATAATATAATGGTATAATATTATACAAATTTAATATTTATCTGTATTTGTTATTAGTTTAATATTGAATATTATTCAGATAATAAATATTATTTTAACTATTTTGTATCTGAATTATAAAAATATTGTTGTATATGTTTAATGTGAACATAAAGAATTGGTTGGTGTGGTTAAAGTGATGGGTAAACAGACGTTTCGYCCCCGCCGTTTCGTCACCGTCAAAAAAACCAATCCACGGACGTTTCGTCTCCGTAAATTTTTAAGATAGGACTTTTCGCGTCCTGGAGAGTTATAACGTTATAAGACATAGGACGTTTGGTCCCCGGCATATTTTGATTAAAGGACATTCGGTTCTCAGGTTTCTAAATAAGTARCATTCAGACATTATATTATATTAAATTTCGAAGTAATAATACTAGCAAACAAGAAAAAAATAACAAACACTTGGGAAATCGTATGACTGAGTACATTAATGAGAAGCTTGCATGAATTGAATACTTAAAGAAAGTTTACTTTAAATTTTCAAATCAACGATTTTAAATAATTGTATTTATTATATTTTATTATTTGTATTTTGTACCTACACCTAGTGATGACTATAGTTAACTTCCAAATTAACGATTTAAAATTGTATACCTATATTATATTATTTTTTTCTGTAATATCTAATATAGTATAATAAAGTATAAATATATTGTGTGAATATTGATTATGTATTTGTAATTTTGTAATATTATCATTTAAAAATTAAATTGTTCATTTAAAATTAAAGTACTTATCAAAATATGCCGGGGACCAAACGTACTATGTCTAATAACTCTCCGGGACGAAACGTCCTATCTTAAAAATTGCTGGGAACGAAACATCCGGGGACTGGATTTTTTGACGGGGGCGAAAAGGCGGGGGTGAGACGTYCGCGATTCAAAGTGATGGTATAGTACTAAATTTCGAAATTTTTGTTTATTAAAACTCTCCTTGAGAATCCTATACATAGGTACCGAGTACCTGTTGGAAAATAATTTATCAATAAACATAAGCTAATAGATACTGAATAACAAAAAAATAAATGACCCATCTCGTTTCGTCACGTCAATATAGAATAATGAATTGAAATATTCACTCAAGTGTATGTTTATAGTAAATWACGCAGTTRGTATATCGTAATTACGCAAATTTTTATGGGTATACGTATAGTGAGAAAAATAACAAATTAAAAAGATTAACTAGCTTCAGTCAACTATATGCACAGCGATGTATTATTAGTTGTTATCATTCATTTTATATTAGCGATAAATTATTAAAAAATTATTATGATCTGAGCCAAAATTTCCTACAATATGTAACTTCACTGCTTAAAAAATTTTTTTGGAAAAAAAGCATAAAATCAATATTTATTTATTGATTCGCTCAGAATCAGAATTAATAAAAATAAATTGTTTGTTCCTTATTGGCTCATTATACAAGCAAATAAAATGAGATTATAGCTTTGTATTCATTCTATTAAGGACATAATTTTTTTTTAATTGCCTTCAACATATGAGGACTATAATTTACTATTATTAAAATAATTGAGGTAAGACACGATTGGACCTTTACCAATAATTACAAGCAGGAAGCAGCATTACTTTATTGAATAGAGGCTTTAATAGGTATATAAAATATTTTAAATTAATATRATCAAATTGGTCTTAAATCAATATTTATAATGAATAATCATACTAATTAGCACCATTAGTCTTATAAACAATCATTATTTAAATACTAAAAACATTTGCAGATTCAATAAATTAACATTGATAAAACTAAGAATCATTAAAGTTAATTTTTTTATTTATTTTGTAAAAAAAAACAAATAAAGTGCATTAAAAACACTTAAAATGTTTATTATAAGTTGTGCTTAAGATTAGTTTTTTTATGCTATATTGATTGATTCTGTACCGTGCTGATATATATTGTAGTTACTATTAACTATAATATAATGCGTAATTATTAGGTTTTAGTACTTAAATTTCGGTAACTTTGTCTAAATTGAGAAGTTTAAACTACTACTTAACAGACAACCCATGATTAACTAACAATTCACATAAATAATCAAATAAGTAAAAATAAATATGTACTTACTGAACGTAGAGAATTGGCGTCTACATCACACGTTAAGTCTCTAGATAGTTCAGTACTTGTAGTCCATCGTTCTATGATTTTACTATTACAAACTTTGTTCGACGATGTCACAATATTGTCAAATATTCTCTGTTGAGGCGGGCACTGAGATTGCTGATGAGTCACTATTATTGGCGTTTTTTCGCAGTCGAGCCAACTTTTAGTGCCTAATTGAAGTTGATGTTGTGCGTTCTCTGGATAAAAAGCTCGATCAGAATCGTCGTCGTAATAGCACGACGAATAATGTTTGAAGTCTTCGTCAGAGTCCATACTATACTAACCCGGAGTTAGCCACTGTTTTTAGTGACCACCGGCGGGTATAATTGTTYACCTATATAATAAAACAAAATTAGTTGAATATCATTGGTTACATTACCATTGTTTTCTATCAACGGTATCAACACCATGCAAATATCAATTTAAAATAGTAATTGTCATTAATAAACAGTGAAAATATTTTTCAAAGAATATTTAATATTCATTAGCACAACTACTATACAACTCGAATATTGGGAAATGAATAGTTATTATTTATATAAGTACCTACAACTCTATAATCTATATATAAATCCTTTGAAAAAAGTATACACTTAATCCTCTTTTAATTATATACACAAATAATGTTATATATTAGGCGATTTGCATAGATAAAAGTATACTACATATAAGCGCATAAAAAACAAATGACCTAACATTCATTATATTTCACACCATCTGGACACCAGATATAGATATATAATTTAAAAACTCGGATATTATTATGTTTTAGTTTTATCTAAGAATTCTCTAACATACTATATCGTTGCTTTGTGTTTTCAACAGTTTAATAAAAATAAAACTCAATAATCTTATGTATTCGTAATTAAGTATAATAGCACATATATTATAATAATATACACTGTACAGGGTAGACTTGTGGGAATTGTGGTTTTCCTGTGTTAGTTTTATGAAAAAATAAGAAAGTACTGTGTAGCTCACACTGTATACATAATATGTATWATGTAGATAAGTACGTAAAAAATGCATTCATCGTCATTCAAATAAACCGATTTAAATATTTTCATCAATGATAATGCATCATTGATCATATGAATGAGTAATTATTATTAAGTAATAAAGATAATATATTTTGGCATGCAATAACGTTCACACAATTGCGCAAACAAAATCAACAAACCATCAGCGAGTGCGAAACCAGTTGGTTTTTTTTCGGCACAAAGAACTCGTCGCCGTCGTCTCTTGTAGAACACAATAAGTAATGAGCATAATATTCCAAAAACCACACGTACACATCCCTTTTTTACGCGGGCGGCTCGGTTAGCCATAACATAATTCTCCCACGAATCTCTCCTGTCTACCATCGCACACACACACACACACACACGCACACACACACATTCAATATATATATATATATATAATATTAGTTTGCTTATCCGCCCGCCCTTTCGTTCTCTGTATATTTCTCCGACACACACGGTCGTCTCTCGTTTCTGTCCCCACCGACCCCGTCCCCGACTGTTTATCGTCACCGAACGAAAGAGACTAGGTCTACGACGACCACGATGGCGACGACCGGTTGCACATGCATGCACGCACGCACCACGCATGCATAAGGAAAACGGCACCATAATATTATATATTAATATTATAATATATATCCCTATATATATATACTTATACTATGAGCCTTCTGCTCTCCCTCGATTATAATACACACAAACATATAAAGTCTTCTCCTCACTAATAGGAGATATAGCTGCAGAGTATAGTGTAGTACTATTGGTGGTTGTAGTAGGTAGTGCAGAGTAAGTACGAGTACGCGCCATAGTTAAGTAACACGATACTTGAATGGGCGATATCGCTGTAGACGGTAGACACATGGAGAAAGAGAGAATGAGAAAGAAAAATAGACAGAGCTAACGAGTGAGAGGGACCAAAGGAGAGAGACTTCGGCGGCGACGATACGGAGGGGTACAACACAACCCACCAAACGTAGTAGACGGATATTGTAAAGAAAAAAACGACACACGACGCCGTTTTTGTGCTGCTTCCCAGATGACGGTCGAGTGTGTGTATGTGTGTATGTTTTATGTACACACGTGTGTGTATGTGTGTAAAAGAGTAGATACTTGGCATGACAGCAGCACCAGCAGCAGCAGGTGTGCAGAAGGACGACTACGTCATCGGTTGTATATAATATTACAACGCGTATATAGGTGGTACGTTCTAGGTGGTAGTATATAGGAGATATATTATGCGACATATACGGGCGTGATCTATTGGGACGAGCACAAGGGGCAAGGGTTTTGTAATTTATTTTTTGGACTATTAGATTTCACTCACGTTCAAATTTAGCACACCGGCAAAGATTCCATTGATTAAAAAAAATTTAAATAAAGAACAGTTTCATAGATTTAACTTCAGGTTTAGGTGCTTTTTCGATGGTGTGCTGTTGTGTAAAGTATACATATAGTATAAATAAATGTTGAAGATAAAACAAAAGTATTTCAAATATTTCGAGATGATGAGAATGATGCCATTTTAAACAATCTAAACTTTAAGCTATACTTTWWWAAAAATCTTTACTACGTTTGTATAACGCAATCTAGTAAATTCTATGTATTTTTTGTTATTTAACTAATATTTATAACGTTGTAAGCTAATAACTAAAGTTGTTCATGCTAAACCATGAAAAAAAAKAAAAAAAAATAGTTTATATTATCAATTATAATATTGACTACAACACTTGTAATATAGTTTTTTTGTGAAATAATTAAGTTTAATAATATTATTTAATGCTGCATAAAAGTTACACATCAAACATAACATATTGTTCTAGCAATACCTAACCACGTACCTTGCAAGGTTTTTTGTAATCATTTCATATTTTGTCCATCGATAACCTACCCAAAYAGCACTATCTCATTGATTAAATGGTTTATTTTATAATAATGTAAAAATAATTATTATTCAAATAATTCTTCTTAAGAGAACGCTTTACCCACATGTGTTGTCTCCGTCTTATAAAGGTACGATATAGCAAAAACTATTTTATGTGGGATAGAACCACTCAGGCTGTAGTCATAACTATAAGAAACGAATTTTTCACACAGTAAAAAGGAGAACATTTACTGTGCAACATCATTTTTATTTTTTGATATCACAAATACAAAAAAAGTTATTCAAGTCTGATATAATTATCTTTTAAACAATACATTTTTTTGGTATTTCCGATATCGAAAAAATATAAACGATATTGCTCAATAATTTTATTGTTCTCCTTTTTACGGTGAGAAAATGTCGTTTATTGGTAATAGCTACAGAATGAATGCYGTGAATGGTTCTAACCCGCGTAAAATAGGTTTTGCTATGTTATACGTTTGTACAACGGAGACAACACATTCGGGTATAACGTCTTCTTAAAGACTGGATRATATTAAAACCTGAATCCGTGTACTCTTTATGTGCTGCAGAATTTTACCAGATACAAACGTTAGAATATCACGCTATGTTGCCTTCCTCCAGATGTTCGAAGGGCTGTCGAGGTCATGTATTCGAGGATTGATCAAATATCAACCAAAAGGGCCACCAAAATGAATACGATGCCTTTGGTTTGGGATTAAATTTGAGTAGGTATTAATACTCAAGTATAAAGATGAACGACAGTTATTCATTTAAATTATTACAACAACAAATTATATAGGATCTTTATTTTTTGAAAGTTAACCCTCAAAGCCCGAWGTTCTATAAAAATTAAATAATATATTCAACAATAAATTAAATTAATTGTGATAAATTTCGCATCACAATTATTTTTGAATATACAAAAATATTACTGTACACTTGACACAGTAYATTATATAAAGATATTACCTAAAAATTTGAAAATATATGATGTTTAATGATCCTTATCACAACAGTTGGTTAAGATATACATAACAAGAGCATACACAATATTACACACTAGTATAGTTAGGACGTGTTGTGTACTCTTGTATTCTCGTAACTATTAATTGTAGATAAGATRACTGATAATCGAGTTAATTATTTTGATACGACCAACAGGTATAAGATGTCTTATCGTTTTTATGGACGGGTGGTTCATGTTATATTAAAAATACGTTCAATATTCAGCGTATTTGTTACGTATTATTTGTAATTTTTCTGTTTTCACCATGAATCACGATAATATATTATAGTATTATAGTAACAAGAATGTGTAAAATTTTTTAAATTCTAACGAATAATGTTAAAATCGATGACTTAATGCAATGATAACTTAAAATCTACAAGTTTTTTAAACTGTCAAAGTATATCATTATAACTTAAAAAATACGTGAAATATGTTACCTATAATCCCAAATCAACTGTTATTTGTAGGGCAGCAATGGACAGCAGCAGCAGATGAATAATCGAAGCAAGTAAGCAACAATAATAGTATWGTTATAAAACGAATTATTGGCGACCGTCTCGTTTTGTAGCACTACGGCCGGTGTGATAATATTTGATCTGGCGATTTCATTGTCAACATTCGTATTGGCGATTCGTTCTCAATCATAGATTAACATATTTACTACATATGGCTTTATGTACATTCAGTCRGATAAATCGATGGATTTCGAACAACGAAATTCGCGAGTATAACAACACCTAAATAATATGTATTATATACTCCGAAGACGATAAAAAAAAGGTTAATTGAAATCACGGGAAAAAACCAAAAAACGTCGGACCGCGAAATAAAACAGAACCGGACCGATGTGTGTGCGTGATAATAACCGCGCAACCAACAAGTGTATATTTTTTATTATGTACGCTCGTTGACGACACGCACGACACGCAACAACAGAGACGGCACAGCAAAGACTACGGGAACGACGACGGCGAAACGATGAATGAGTCGGACCACGGACGTCGCTGCGGCAGCGGCGGCGGCGGCGGCGGTGGTGAGTATTGCTGTTGGCCGGTTTCCAGCCGTCGTCGTCGTTCTTCGGTCGAGCAGCAGCGTTCGTGTGGAAGGGGTTGCGGGGAGCTGCGGTGTTTTAATAATAATAATGACGACGACGACGATGTAAATCGTTGGTGTATATAATAATATACCATATTATATTATTACGTGTATATAATAATAATAATATTAATAATAATGATAGTAGTAATAGGCGTATAACAGAAACGGCAATGACCGTTATCCGCCAGATGGCGGACCGCGCGCGCGCCTCCGCGCAAACAGGTCTCTCGGAAACACGACACGCCGAGCACGACACCGGCCGGCCTGGCCGACCGCCGATGTCGCGTAATATTTTCGATACAGCGAAACGCGTTGGGTACAACACTTATAGAGTAGTAGTATTGTATACCTGTGCGCGATTTCTGCGCACGCGCGCTACGCTGAACCGATGCATGAATGAACGGACGAGGATTACGGCGGGTAAGTCGACTAAGTCTCGTTGCGTACCAAAAAAGCTAACTCGCCGATTCCGTAACTCGTTTGTTTGGTCTGTCCGTACGGTGAAACGCTCCTGGTCGACCGGCCCATCTCGCGTGTTATTATTATTATACACTCACACCGTTATTATGTAGGTACACGCGGTTATAAACTTATAACCACAATTACCACCGCCGTCGTGTGTGCCGCGAAAGTCACCGGACGCCACCACTTCTGCCCCGCATTGTGTTGTATTTTAATCGGCTCCACACACATTATTTACACGAATTTATATGACAATACAGATGTTATCTTAATATAATAAAATATTTTTTTTAAAACCGTGTGAGACAAGGATGCTGTTCTTTTATTAAGACGGGTTAGGCGTTCGAGACGTACGACCGCAGGTACACACTACAACGTCGCGTTCAATTATTCCATTGAGGACAAATCGATTTTAAATGTGATACAGAAGCACTCAATGTACAACAAAATATATGTGTACCGGTATATTGTACCTATATCGGTATTGTTGTCGCACGCTGACATTTTTATCGCATTCCCGTGTGGGAAATTAAGTGTGTGTGCGGACACTACTGGCTAGCCATGTAGTAGGTATAATACTACAATAGATACTGTTTGGCATACAATTTGACCTTATTCACTAGGTATATTATATTGAACTCTATAGGAAAATAGGAAGCAATAAATGAGAATGAAAAAAAAAAAACGGAAATGCTGTACCGAAAAATTTTAAGAAATATAGAAGATACAAAGATCCCTACTGTGTCATTGTTACAGTAGGTATGTATTTAACCGACCAAGAATCCRCATTCGCATCAACATTCAACGTATAGAGCATAGTTACCCTAACCCTATATTGAAGACTATACTATACAACACTAGTCAGTAAATTCAGTATTATTGTACATACCTATTTAAAATTTAATTTTAAACTGCCCATTTTATTCGAAAAACATTTTTTTAATTGATCTGGGTTTACTAAATAGTTTTTAGAAATTATGGCACATTTTAATGTAATAACTAAATACTAACTTATAAAAATTGTTTATTTTCAAACATGTATTTTTGAACTATGTTTTCAGACAGTTRACTATTCATTCAAACACTAGACATTTATGTACAGTCGTACAGGTGATCCAAACCCTCAAAATGGCTTTGTTTAAAGACTTTTTTTAACAAGTGAAACTGCAATATTAGAATAGGAAAAAGAAAACAGACTAAAACGATTTCCTAATGGAAGATCTGCGTCATGATTCATGAATTAGTAATAACAGAAATATTTTACTATATTTCTAAATCTGCAATGTCTAAAAAAAAGTTATTTAATATAGATGTTATATACCCTATTTATATTTATTTATGTGGATTGTGTCCCACTTTTTTACCTTAGATTCATCTAATTAGGTTCTGCACATTGTTTTTAACATATTCGTATATTTTTGAAACAAAAGTAACGCATTAATAATTTCATTGAAAATAAAAACTATTAATACAATATTAGTTAAATATAAAAAATTCATTCCCCATTATTTTTATATCATAAAAAATTATAAATCACAATTATTTCGAGTTMAATATATTATATACTTAGTAAAGTATTTGTTTGGAATATTATATTTAAAATACTTTATTTACATGTTACTCCGAAATATGCAAAATAAAGCTTACACAAATGTACAAATTAAGGCTTAAGCAACAACCAAACGAATATTTCATCATTAATCATAAAGAATAAATACATTATAATCTACTGTACATACTACATACAGACATACTTTCATATGCGAGTATTTTTTTTTTTTATCATAAAATGTTGACTTAATAATTAATAAAAAATATTTATATTTACCTATATTGTATTGTGTATACAACTTATTGTATTATATTTATGTATATAGTACATTATCAAGTCCTAATTATTAAACTTTTTTAGAGGAGACTGTTGTCAACCTCGGCACAAYGACACCGTCGTCTGTAGGTGACGTATTGTGTATATATAAGAACAATAAATAAAATACAGTAAATAAAAAATGAACAATAAATCAGACGTAGTAACGACGTTTGTTTATACAAATATTGCAATCTTTAACGTTCTCACACTAACTATATTAAGGGTACGAAGTACTAAAACGTTGTAGGTAATGGTAGTATAAATAATTAACTTTAAAATGCCTAGTAATTAGTGTATCATATGTTTTAATAGTTGCGTAAAATAGAAGAACAGAAAGTAACATAATTTTATTACCAAATATATCCAACTGATATAAGTGATATACTGATAGTAAAACCTATAATTGGTTATTAAGTTATATAATTGTTCAATGCTTATCAAATAATTATCTCCTAATAGTCAATTTATTATACACATGATTTTTAGGTAACCACTGCCAATCAGTTGTGAATTTGTGATGAATTATATTTACTACTGACAAGATAGAAGTTCAACTGAAATTTTAATTTATCGATCCAATAAATAACTTTGATGAATTCTGAGAAAATAAAACAACTAGTTATTTAGTTTTGTCTACATTAGCGTATATATAAATATTTAAAAACAGATTATTATGATGACCAGTACATATTAATCACAGTGTAAAATGTATTGAATTATATAAAGGATTTGTATACTATTTAGTATATTATTATAACTCRGAAAATTTTGAATAAGCACACCATTCCTCAGTTCGACAACTTCTGAATAAATTTAACTAAACATAATCTAAGTAACTCTTTTGAAAAGCGCTGTCACGCAGTGGCCGTTTTCATTGATATTTTTAGTCTTTATAATAAGGTATCAAAGTTTGTTATRCAAACTCAAATCTATCTACAAGCCAAATTACCTTCTTGACACCGTAACTTCATTTCTTTCTAACAGACAATTTTCTGTCAGAATAAATTAATGATAACCTCTCTACTTTTAAATTCATAAAAGTCGGCGTTCCATAATCCTGGGACCTATCTTATTTAACGTCTACATATAATGACATTCCTCAGTCTCAATACACCAACTTCACCCTTTTACTGGTGACATTACTACTATCTATCAGGCACGTAACTAGACATTTTTCTGTAAGGGGGCCAATATTTTTTGGTCCCTTTCTGTTTTTTGTACCCAATACCACTCCTCTCCTTATCAGACAATATCTATAAAAAATAATACTACATTTCACAATGTATTGTCTGTATTAGTTAAGCATTATATTTTTGTTATTTATTAATATAGGTATATACAATATACATCTTAAAAAACTATATTAGGACAAGTCGTCTATTTCTATGGTTCGCTGCTTAGTGCTAAGTCTCTAACTCGGTATATAATAATATTATATTGGGACATATCATTTTGTTAGGCATGTTTATTTTATTTTACGATTATCGTATTGGTCCACTATTATATATAGTATTGTCTGTAGTTGTGTTTATCAAATGTGCGTTCGATAGACTCTATAAATGTATTAATAGACGTCTTATTAGTTATTGTCTATCTTGTATTATTGACAAATATTTATAAAATTTCGGAATTTAATTTTTGTTATACGATCGTTAACTTTACYATATTACGGAGTACCAATAGTACCATACTATAATATACAATTAGGATTTAACCAGCTTGGGACAATTATATTACACACCATAATATTTAAAAATAAAAATAAAGGGGGCCAGTCCGGGGCCACTGACATTTCTTAGCAGGCCAGGCCCCCTAAGGCCCCCCTTGGAGACGTGCCTGCTATCTATACACAAAATATCGCAACTAGAAAGCTATAGTATAAATTTACAAAATCACTTGAACACATTATCTTATTTATGGAAAAAATGAGAAATATTAATAAATCCTTCATAAAGCATAAGGGTCTTGTTTAGGCTACGTCATAACCGAATACTTTATATCCTCGCTAAAATTTAACAATGAACCAATCCCTTGGAAGCCGACCATCAAGTACCTTGCCAACTTCTAAATATATGATGCTTTTTCCTATTATAAACAGAATGTCCTCACTTCAAAAAAAAACGCTCCTTATTACTTATTTATAAGTTATAACCAAATACTGTGACCACTGCTCACGTATGATTGTCCTATTAAATGCACCCTAACCCTTTAAAAAAATTAAAAATATTCTAAAACAAAACATTAAGAATAACAATGAATTATCTACGGTTTGTAAAAAACTAAAAAATACGCAAAGACCTCGAATTCCTGATCTTCAAGACCGTGTTAAACATTTGACTAAAAATGTCAAGTCTATCCACAAATCAACAGGCTCAATACACTACCATCTTAACACAAAACCACCACTTCAATGCCACCTCCATAGTGGACACTTGCATCATTTAATTTCTTAACAATTATTTCTCTCATTTAGTATAATAATATATTTAATAGAATATTAACTATGAAAATTTAATCACTATATTATTTATTTATCGAACTTAGGAGACTCAAGATA